AGACCGGCCAAGACGATAGACAACCGCACCATCCAACCATGGCGGTGTTTATAGTGTTGCCTGCGCGTCCACAAGCGTAGTCGTGTAGCGTTCATTGCTCAACTTGACCACTCTCGCCGAAAAATCGTAATATAACCCCTTCCAAGATTGTATCCTTCTTCTGGATCACCCTGCCTATCTGTCAAAATATTCGTCTCCAAGATTTGCGCGCAACAATTTGTTTCCACCAAGTGGTATTCACATTCTTGTGGGCGTGTATGTGGAGGCCATTTGAGGCCAGAGACTGGTTTGACTTGAGGTGTGGTCATTGAAGTAGAGATGTACTAGGTCGTACTTGTAGACTCATTGAGGCTTTGGCCGGATTTGACCTTGTTGGTGTTGAGATATTGAATTATTTGGGAGCAGTGCATCATTGGCTCGTGGGCCAACTCGTTTGCTACTACGAAATTTGTCTCAACTGGGCACTAGGAGAATAATTCCTCCCAGGTTCGTAGAGGACACGGTTCATTAGTGTTTAGTGCTGGCACCTTGTACCAGTAAATTTTTATTAGCCACCTAGAATATGAATAAATTTTCGAGCTCTTTCATAGCACTAGCATATACTGTGGATAGTAGGTTACCACATCTCGAAGACAGGCCAAGTTAGGGTCTTAGGCTGGTCTACGCACCTGTCTGTATTTGCTAAAGTCCTAGCTGAAGCTGCAGATCCGCTTTGGGCACAGGACTGATGGAGTCGGCAGGGGGTCCGGTGATTTATTCCACACCCCAACTCATTCTGTCCGCGTGTCTCGACAAAGAGGGAACAGGTTACGGCCTCGCCTAGCCCTGGCCCTAGGTAAGATGACGTATGTACATGTGGTACGTGCACGTCAGCAAAGAGTCTCTGCCGGTCTCTGTCGGCTCCTCCTCACAGCCAATCCACTCTTTACATCTCTTTGTGACTTGGAGGTGATAGATCGATAGCATAGGTGATTAGGCATGAAAAGAGGGCTAAAATCGAGGCTCGGCCGCGTGGTGGCTGAGGCAGAATGATGCAAGGGAGATTGAAGTTTTTCTTTTGTAGTGCGGGATTTCACCTGGAAGTTTTCTATGGTTTTGATTCTGGGCTTCTGGACTCTTCATGATTCAACAAATAGATGCGTTTCGGCATGGTTCCGGTCATTTGGGCGAGACGAGGCATATCTGTACTTCACGGATATTAACCCGATCCGGCCCAGCTCCTCTCGTGCTTAAGCTTCAGTAGGAGTGCGGCAGGTTTCATCTGACCTAGCACGTTAATGAACAATAAATCACCCTTCACATCTCTACGATAAAACTACCTTCATACCGCTTCCTCTTCTCGTGACTAGTAAATAGCACAACAAGAATCAAAATTAGAGGAAGTTCACTTGTGGTTCGGGTGCCGTACTTCTCGCCCATTTCGTCTTTGGTCAAATCTCCCAGGTGACAGATACCAATGTTTTGAGGATCCCTGATCATAAACATTGTATTATAATTTGTCACGTGCACCCTAGTCTTTATGCATAATGCACGCTGAGCTACAAATCTCTATATACTAGACACATCCTGTAATTTTAGAAGAGAGTTATACACCGTCTTAAGATTTCACTATATAGAAGATATAGCAGAAATCCAGAGACACTGTTGTACTACGATTTTCGTATATCCACATTTTATCACCGTATCATCCTAGGAACTTGTAACCTCAGTTTGGTGAGAGCGGAAGATAGGTTACAAACATCCCTTGATGTCGGCCGATTATCTAATGTACAATATTCAAGACTTCATAGGCTTCTCCAATGGTCGCCGCACCCTCGCTAGTCTACTCGTTGTTACTCTAGAGACTCCGTCTAGGTTTAAGGCATTAGTGTCTCGGGCGTAAATATAATCGGGGTAACAGGATCGGTGTCAAGGAATCTACCTCCACATGATTTACTAGTCACTTCACCTAATGCATGATTAAATACCAGGCTGTCGTACATGATTAGTGTCGCATACAAATCTTAGCTGACTTCTTGATCCAAAGGCCAAAACGTCAGCTAGGCCGATTTTGTTTTGGCGTCACGTAAATGCTCAAACATTGGCAACGCTATCGCCGGCAAAGACGAATGCTTCACCTTCCAGTGGTGCCGGTGTAATCGCTCAGTATGCTCTGCATATCTGGGATAACCAAGAAGAATCGCATCCGAATCGAAGTCGAAAGCAAACACATGCATATCTCCATTTGACGACTTCTCAATCATGCAGCACTCACCATTATCTTCTGAGTCCTCAACCTCGATCTAACCACATATCATCTCGCCTCGCCGAACGATAAAGGTTTCACCCCAATTGCAAACAGGAGCTTGCCTCATTGATTACCGGCCATCACTCACTACATATTTACGACGCTGCGTGTACCCGCAAGGGCGAAATTAAGTCATAAAATACCAAGTTGGGGTCTTGGTTCGTGGGTGACTGTTGCTCCAATGGTGTTATGCATTTTGAGGAAGGACAGGCGGCTGAGATGTGGAACGAGAGGGGGAACAGGTCTCTGAAGACCATGCTCGGACTGACATTTTCGAGGGGTTTCCAACTTTGGATTTTTTGTGGCCGCCGAGACCGAGATTTTGGCTGGCTAGCCAGGAGGGCTGCTATTGTCGATGAGTCAACGGTACTCCCCAGCGCCCTGGACGGCACAGAAGAGGTTAGGCTAGGCTACTATACAGCCATCACGCTCTGTCAAGACTTTTCTGACATTTCAGCACGACCTTCGGGAATGAGTTGAAAGGAGGCTAGAAAGGCAGAGTGTGAATTCTCCGAGGTACCCACAAGTCTGCAGCGCCCAGCTGGCCGGCCTCTTCGAACGCTTCATAAGGGTCACTATATCTTCGGATTTAGTCCTAATGTCGCTACAAGAAGAGCTCCGCACCCAGTGGCTTCTGCGATCTTTCCCGGCTACCATACACCCGCAAATGGCCATCGTTTCGTTGGCTGGAGAGGGGGAGATAATGAAAGGCGAAGGGTTCCTCTAAGTGTATGATTGAAGACTTGTGAGGCATGGTACTGTTTGAGAGGAGCTGTGTAGGAAGCAATGGAGGGGATATACTACTGGTAGAGGTATCCATGGCCTGTAGGTAGAGAGGAGCTGCATGTCCTACATATTCATAGACTCAGACAGGACAATAAAATTAAATAATAAATTATAATTGGCAACGTTATCTTCAGACCAAGACAACCCCTAGAAACCCCCAAATTTAATTGCTCGCCGAGCGATGTGGCTTGGGTGAACCCTTTGACCAGGGTACAGTTCATGATGTCTTATCAGCCTCCTATTGTTAGTACATTCAGACCCCTGTTAAGACGATATTGCCGTTTATACGATATATTTTCCAGAACGCACTTCGTTCCCATACATTTACCGATTACACGATTATCGTTCTTCAACCTCTGAATATCGTTTTAACCAGGGTCTTTTTGTTAGATTGGTGCTAATAATGTCGCGAAAATAGGGAATTTCTGTAGAGCAATGATGAGCTCTGCGACGATGGGCGCACCGCCAGGTCCCTAAACCAACACAAAATCAGTTTTTGAGTGGTTCTTCGCTGAGTACGGCCATCAATTAAGCCAGTCCACAGTCTCCGAGTCCTTAAATAAGACCTTGGCGAAACTCGACGACGCTACAAGTACTACTGCGCTACGACAGTGAGGTGGAAACTGACCTGACCTTGAGAGTATTAGAGCGACTAAAGACGGCAATTGGGAGTATAAAAGAGGCATCAAAAGTACAAAGTAGCCTAGATAGCTGGATTACATAATCATATCCGTTTAAACGATATCCCCAAGAAGACGATATTTTTCACGGCCCCAATTACATTGTCTTAACAGGGGTCTGACTGTATCTCCTGTAAACGGCTGACGGGGTCGTTCATGTAGGCATGTGCTCCAACTATCAAGATGAAACGTTAGCAGCGACCAGGCAATCTGAATAAGGGAATTTATTTTAAAATCTTTGAGGAAGGTTAGTAGTACGATTAGATCGAATCTACGCCAAATTCCCCAGTTATTTAGGTAATGGCCAATCAAACACACGAATATAATTTAGAGAAAGATGAGAGAACTGGTGGTATCGCCTGTCTATCCTAATGAATTCTCTCGTGATCTGACAAGTAGCTTTATTGTTAGTTAAAGCGAGCTCGAGCTTCGATGGGATCATTTAGAAAACAAACGCTCTTGCCTCTTAGGAATGGAATAATTCTAGGCAAAATTCAACGAGGTGATCTGCCAGTCGGATTGTTACGGGCAAATAGAAACAGACGCAGTTCAACCTTTAGCTAGCAGTGTAACTGATTATGAGGAATAATTTCTATGGCCAAAGCCAGGCCTGGGATACTTTCCCCGAAACATGGCTGCTGGTGTGCATTAGGACCATCAAGGAAGGAGTGTTTGATATGGAAAGAACCCATAACCAAGAGGGTCTACGACATATCGTGATTGAAAATAATACCGTTCTCGTTAGATTCTTGAATTCGTTTGCCAGATGATAAACTTTTTAATTCAATTTATCTAGAAGACAGTCTGAGCCTTTGTACAAATCGTCAATAGTGGATAAATTATACTTGAGCACGAATTAACTAAAAGTTAGATCATGATCATTCGCCACAGCTCATTTTCCTATACTCATCAAGTCTTGTAACCTTCTCTTGGGTTCTACAAGGAAAGGCCTCCTTGGCAATACTCTGACGAGTGGCCTAAATAGTGGTAACACGTATTTGGTATGAAAGGTTTAGATGCCTTGATCCTGTTTACTAAAAAACCTAGGTCAAGATCAACTCTCTCTTTTCGTCGACTTCTACTAGAATCCAGGAGAAGTAGTGTGATTGAAAATTTAACTAGACCGAATTTTTGATTTATGATACCGAAAGCAGAATATATGGCAGCCGGATAACGCCACGCTTAAATCATTCCTCCAACTTGATCAAAAAAGCTAAGACTTCGTTCGTTAAATAAACTTGCATAGTCTAACGAGCCTCCGAGTAATCGTTCAGGGCTACACAGACTAAGCCACGGTGATGCCCATTATATTGTCTGATAATCTGCTCGCTTTGTAGTTCCCAGAGTCTTGCGTAGTGATCTGAACAAGCAGTCACAAGATAAGCAGAGTCGGCACTAAATGCACAATCCCATACCCAGCGCTGATGTCCAGTGAGAGTACTTTCAAGCTTGAATGGTTTCGGATTTTTTAGGTCCGTTGATTGATCTGAGATGGGCAATACAGCTTCCGGATCCTTCACTTCCCAGATCTTGGCAGTATGGTCTGCAGAACAAGTCGCAAGATGCTTCACATCTGGAGATAGAAGAACGCGTGTTATATAGTTATTGTGTGCGTTGAAATGGGTAATGGGAATGAGAGAGGTCTTTTCTTGGTATAACACCAGGTGCCAGACATAAACGTTGCCCTGGTTTTCTTGTTAGATATTTTGGGTTAGGATAGGGGAGATTTACAGAGTTGGTTCCTGCGCATAGCGTTGTCCCATCATTTGAAATAGTGACGCTGGCTACTGGTATATCCTCCTCTGGGATTAGTTGGTGGGAGCAGCTGTTCTCAGCTAGGTCCCAGATCCTGACACTTCCACCTCTATCACAGCTAATTATTTCACCCTGATTAGGGTGGATAACAACATCAGTTACAGGATAGCCATGGTTGTAGCTACGTTGAACGGCGCCGCTTCTCGTCTCCCAAATTTTGACAAATCCATCTTCGGAGCTTGTGACCATCCACTTACCTTCACAGTGAAATGCGATACCGGTCACATTTCCACAATGACCCTCAAAGGCCAATACTGGGTTTGGATTTGTCGATAATATATTGTACAGTTTAACTGTATGGTGACCAGCAGCAGCTAAGAACTTCTTGTCAGGAGAAATACAGAGTCGGTTGACTTGTGAATCAGAGTGTTGTATTGTACGGGAGCAGATACCGGAAAGAGCTTCCCAAAAACTACACAGTTTTCAGTTTTGACGGCATATCGAGAACGGTAACTGCATACCGGATGGTATGGTCATAACCAGCTGTAATTTAAAGCCTTGTCATTAGCATTTAATCAATTTAAATAGCCACAGTAGATAGTGGGGTCTCTGACATGAAAATCGTATTGAAATTTAATTATTAATAGAAGCGCACATGTTGAGTTGAGGATGTTTATATCCGGGACAAACACACCTGTACAAAGAATGACGCTCATTGCGCCTTTGAAGGCTTCTGTTCCGTGATAAAACAAGGGAAGTAGATGAATAGTGTTTAATTACTCATGAGAATGTTGGCTAGCAGTATCTATTTTTAAAGTATTTTCTAGCTTCCATCCTCAATGTCAGAAAATCTCCGTAGCTATCCGCGGTCTAAATCGGGCGCGACAAGGCTGTCTGAACGAACTGTCGCCTACGGGGTAGTAAGATCAATGTTAACGGTCTCAGCCCTGTCATTACTAGGGTCAAAAAATCACCCTAGAATTTTTCAACTATCGACTTTTAGCTACTATCCGCGAACTTCTTCTTATAAGGCCTGTTGAAAAAAAAATTTACCGTAAACGCTAATTGGGTCAAACTTGATAAACCGTCGTACATCTACTAGAATTTATAGGCCCCAAAAGGCTATCCGCTACTCATTTAACAGGCTAATGGAAGCTGAGAAGTTCGATTCGGATTTTTCTAATCGGGTGAAACTGGTATGCAATAGCCATCTAGGTCCTCTTTTATCACCAAGTCCGGCTACTAGAGGAGAAGGTAATTATGCTTCTTCCGAGTGCTTGAGTGACAGAAATCAAGGGATAGACCAAGGGCTTACACATTCACAAAAGGTAACATCAGTTGATCCATGGAAATACTTGCATGGACCAACTTCTTTGGATGAAGAATTAGATGCACTTCTCGGACCTGTCAAATTTGATCTTAACGACAAGACTAACGCAATCAGTCGGGATTCGTGGGTAGAGGGCCTCACAGCTGATGCCTACCAGCCTGCGGCACCGTCGTGCAAACGGCGTAAGTTCAAACCAGATCAAGCACAAAGTTCATCTATCGAAGAATCCTCGGTAGGTCCCCCCATTCTTGACAAGAAGCTTAATTAACTGATAACCACAAGTATGAGGTGGATGTGGATAACGTGTTTCTCCCCCCCCATGGATCAAAGCTATTATCACCCATTACAACTCCCACGTGTCGCAGTCCCGGTGATTCTAGTTATGGCCTTAGTATGTCAGAGTTGTACAAACAAAAAAATATAATTTCAGCTGTGCCAGCTGAAGGAGATCTCCTCGAAAGAGACATTCACAATTCTGTCTTATCTTATGATCCACAAGGAGCCTCAAAATTACAAAGTGTCTACGAAAAACTTCCAAGCCCCAACCAAAACCAACCATCTGAAGAGTTAGAAAAAGCACAGCCACGGAGATCGCATCAACCATACAACTTCATACCCATGGATCCAGATGAACCGATTCCATCGACTGAGGAAAGTTCCAGTAATATCAATGAAACAAGGGCTTTTCAAATGATTCGAAATAAGAAAGTCCCTGATTGGCTGCTTGAACAGTCCGAAAAAAGGCCGCGTAATGCAATTTCCAATCAGGAACAAACAAACCAGATAGACCAAAGTATAATCCTGTCAGATAATACTAAGCAGAAGAACATGACCAAGGACAGCCCCCCTCAAAGACAAGCGCGTGAAAATACAAATTGCCTCTTAACGTCTCGTGAATCAACCTTCATACAACAAGCCACAAATGAAGCTAGACGCAATGAACTACATCGAAAGATCACCACATTTTTCCCCATGGCATGTTCTCTGGAAATAGCAGGCTCTAACAAAGATACAATCTTAACTTTAATTGCTGAACTTATCACCTATGACGACTACCAAGATAGCGCCCCAAACTATCAGATACCAAGCTCTTACCGGCAAATCCTTGATGAACTAACTTGCCAATGGAGTACGGGAACTGAGAAAAATGAGTTCCGAAAAGCACTAATTGCATACGTCAAGGAAAAGATGGAATTGGAATGTAAGCCTATGCTTTATTATCTCTTTTAGTCTTACTACTCTTGCGCTTATAGGACATGAATCCTTTACAATAATCGCCAAAATAGCAATAAATGCATGCTTTCATTAGTTTAATTATCTTTGACAATACACCATGAATTCCTAGGCTAATCTTATTTGTAGTAACAAAGGCACGACAGGTAGAGCCTTCTTACATGGAAGGCATTAATGATGGAGATCATCAATGGATTGATGAGGTTGGAGTTCTTGATGATAAATCAAAGAAAAGATTAAGAGATATCCTTTCTCAAAGTCGAGAACGCATTGCCTATCTCAGTAATCTCAATTTACACCTTCAAGATGAGAACGAGAAACTTCGTGCTAACTTAGAGAGAGTTTCAACTGAGAGCTATCTCCAGATCGAAGGCTTTGATGATAATTCGATTATGGGAAATACTGAAACGATATCTCAGCTTCTCTCGCTCTCTCAAGACTGCCCAATTCCAGGCCTGGAAGAAAATTCACATGACGAAGAAACTAGGCACGCACCGATTGAATGAGCGTTGTACCGAAAATTTACCCTAACAAATCGTTCGAAACCGGTACTTAATCACACTCACTTAACGGTTAGTAATAACTATCGTCTTGTTGCCCAGCCATCCGGCAGGTAAACACGCTCTAGTCTATAAGTGTCGTAGCTTTCTCCTTGTTGATTATCCCGTCTTTGGTTGGTTCAACCAGGTCTCCCGTTGCATCATGATGTCATTAGCCGCAGATTAGCAAATTAATCCGCTGGCTACCTTCCAGTGAAGGGTTCATTTGGTTCAGATAGGACGATGGATGGGACCATCTGGCGATGGACTATTATTTCTGACATGAAGATTTAAAAGTATTAAAGATGGAGAGTAAATTTATACTGATTATCAAGAGTGAATAAGTAAGCCAGATAGGAATACAACTTGTGGGAATCCGATTGTTACGTGGTTGGAAGTATGGCAGGCAGTACATGGCTTAATGTTAATAGCATCACTCATAACCGTTCCACGTGACATTTTCTTCGGAAAGATAACTTTAGACTTGTAAGTGAACTAGAATATAAGAAAATGATAATGTGAGCGGAAAATAAAGATAAGTCTTGGTGCCGCCGGTCTCATAGAATGTAGCGTTGGATCAGTCGATTTCTAGAAGCAAGCAGTTAGTCCGCCGTAGACGGTTGATCAGAAATGCATTGATAAGTGACTCTGGGCTTAAGGCAAGCGACAGATTAAGGTAAAACTTGGTGAGGACCCGCTCACACGGGCCAAGGAAAGGATTCATGGGGCGGGAGGGATTGGAGGAGATCTTGCCAGAAAAGGCCAGCTCCCGGCTACGAGAACGACTGTGGGGAGACTTAGCAATACTCATTGGGCCTGATTCTGTGGGGGAGGGGCTTATGCACGGCCTCAAGAGGTGGTGGAGACGCGCGCTTTGGCCTAAGGGCAAATCCTCCAGGTGCCAGGCATCCTCGCAGCCATTGCCGACGTGTTGATACGCGTCAGCGAATTGAACTAATTATCATTACCCAAGAAGAGTGGTACGGCAGTCGTTACCGTGTGGGGGGGAGAATGATCAAACTCAGTCCTGTCGTGCTGAAATAGATTAAGATAGAGAAATGCGTTGGTAATCCCGAAAAGAAAATTAACCTCTCCGTCTGCTATCATTCCACGTCTTCTTCAGGCCCTTAGGCTCTATATCATTGTCCAGCGCCATCGCTTTTAATTGGTAGGCGCATTTAAAATTTGAGAATGCAATTCAGAGGAAATCTATGGCGTTTGGGCTAGGTCTGACGTGTAAATATTGTTTGACCCCTCATGTGTACTAGCTTTACTTTATTTAATCGGATCTTTTCCACCCTGTCGTACACCCTTAAACCTCCATGAAGATAAGACTGACATGGAGATAAAAGGTCTTTCCTTTGAATTGCTGTAGAGATGTTCAGCTTTTCAACACGATGTGTCCAACCTCACTTACCGTCAAAGCGGGCTGACGCACCCCGTGACTACAGCGCTAGCAGGGAATCCCACTCGATCCCGGCTCCGCTAAGTCTTCAGATTCGGATCGGAACAAACAGGCAATTGTCGATTTTAAGCTTTATCCTGCTCGTCGATCTCTCTGGCCTCCGCTCTTTCATGTTACCCTCGCTGAGCCCCGACTCGGCGAAGCCTAGACTTTCTCCCTGCGTCATCGTTGCGGGGCAGTATTGTTGCACATTCCTACACCTCTTCATACTTCAATGTTAATGATTGTCTTTTTAACTGCTTCTGTAGGAGGTCGCATCAAATCGTAAATGGTCTGATTGATGTAGACGATCACTGTTCCGCAAAATCTTTCCGTGTATAGCATGGAGGAGGCGGCATCTTCCTAATTACCCACAGTGTTATTTCCAGTACTAGTACCCTCACTATCCAGCGTCTGGCATGAGGCGGAAATGGGTTGTCATGCAGTAGCTTGGGTGAGCTTTAATACCCTTGACTCTTGCCACGATGTTTGGCTTGCAGTTTCACGTTTCAGCTGCAGGAAGGAGAACAACAGATGTCAGGTAAACACTGCAAAGGGAGAGGCGATATGTAACGCTCAAGGAAAATCAAGGGATCATGCAGGTTTCAAGTTCAGGGGGGGGCTCATTGTCACATCAATCCAGTCATCGATGGTTCCTTTAGTTCACTTAGCTGCACCCGTCTCGCCAGGCCTATCGTAATCATCACCAACACAACGGCACCAGCTGTAGCTATCCTGATTATCCTCTACATCAACCACGGCCTTTCTCCTCTCGCTAAGTGCGTCCGTCCTCCTCATCTATATCCTCGACTCTACAAACCTCCCGCTCACTCTACGGACCACATATTAAAGAGCTCCAGCTAGTGGAAGTACTCTAGTCAAAGTCAGATACTTGATGTCATAGCTGTAGGTATTTAGACATCCCTTTACCTCTGCACATATACTATCTAAATATCACCTGTAACTTATCCTCATCAATAATTACATACCCACATACCCACAAACCTCATTACTCGAATTACTTAACACGTCTGCCAGATAACAGATTATCTCTCCATAGACTACACGCTTACAACCTCTTAGTACTCTTATCATTAACCATATTTGCGGCAATCATTCAACTTAAGCCTCAATCCACGAACTATCTTCGAATTTTCTAAGCCAGCCATCACCTTGGTCGTTTTCATTTCAGAAAGTCACGGCTGAATCTTTTCGAAGGGCAAACCACGTTTATACTATGATGATTTCTATTTCTTAGCTGTCTATCTTTGGCCCTTCCGTTCAGATTTTTATCTTGATCAACCACATTCGCCATTCCTTAGATCCTTCTAACCAATCTCGCTACATATAACATGGGACCTCCCATATCTACGGGAACCTTTTGGTCACCCCGCAAGTCTATGACAAGAATCTTCATTTTAGTAGTTTTTGGCTTAATACTGTTTCTATACAGTATAACTCCTGCTGCGACATACTGGTCAAAAAGCTTCGAAACACAAATTATTCACGTCCAATATAACGCTTCCCAGTCATCCCCAAGCCCGACACTCGGATACCCTTATCCAACCTCTACAGGCATAAACTCGTCTCCATCACAAGACTGTTCCCTCAACTTAACTAGAATACAAATGTTACAGAAACAACATAGTCTGAGTGATAAAATTGAATATGTACGGCGCCATATTCATTTCCATCGACAGGATATTAAACGAAGTCCCATGACCAAAATCGATGAAATCTTATTCCCAGTCGGTTTTGAAACGATAGACATTTTTAACTTACCTACTCATATATCATGTCCGGCTCCACTCAATGTGCCTGTCACAGCATCTGGAACCCCTAAATCTGTAGACGCGTCTGAATTTCTTTTTGGTATATCGACTACCTTTTCTAGACTAAATGATCCCAAAATTTCTCCGGTTGTTGAATGGGCTCACTGGCTGACTGACGGAAATGGAAAATCAAACGGTGCGGGACTCGTTCTCCGACTTGTCGACGCAACGGAACGCGAGCTTAGTGATATTCAACATTGGCTCTTATTTCTTGGTATTGATGCCAAAGTATATGCTTCAGACTCTAGCATTGAGATGGCACAACGCTACTTGTCTCTTTTACCAACTCTTTATGAAGACAGTTCCCGCCCAAATCGCAAATGGCTTGTACTTTGCGACGATGATACATTCTTCCCATCAATGAATCGTCTTACTCAAAAGTTTTCAACTATCAATGCTTCTGAACCACTCTACATTGGAACCTTTTCTGAGGATGTCAATAATATTCAGCGCCATGGCTCACAAGCCTTTGGAGGGGCTGGAGTATTCTTTACGACGACGTTAGCCGGCCAGATTGCCCAGCTTTACCCAGCTTGTAGTACGCGGCAGAAAATTGACGAATCAAATACTGGTTGGGGCCCACAGGGAGACATACTCCTTCGCAAATGTATCTACGAGAATACAGAAGTGCGCCTAACTATGCTGCGTGACCTTCATCAACTTGACATTATGGGTGATCCCTCTGGATTCTACGAGTCTGGATTGGCACCCCTTAGCTTACATCACTTTAAGGGGGGTATGTGGCATGAAGCTAAACCCTATGCAGGTGTTCAGGTCATACATACTTGTGGAGAAGATTGTTTTCTACAACGCTTCCAAACTGCAGACAACTTTATTATTTCTAACGGTTACAGCGTTGCGCATTACCCTCATGGAATCGACTTTAATATTCATCAGATGGAACGAACCTTTTCTTCTGCGCCGGATGACTACGGCTGGAACCTAGATTTTATGCTTGGACCCGGTCGTAACAGTCTATTGGGGACTGGGCGCAAGATAGCTTGGGAACTCAAGGAAGCGAACCGTGAACCAGATGGGACTGTGCGACAGATTTATATTCGCAAAGTCAATGATATCAGGTGGACTTTTGCAGAAGGCAACGTTCACTTTCCCATGTCTGACAATGATGGCGTTGTGGAACTAGTGTGGATACCTTGAAATTGACGGTTTTATGCGTCAGCACGATCAGGTCAGGACCCCCACGTACTATGAAGATACCTAGTCACTTTTATTACCAAAAATTCTGGAAAATTTAACATCCGACCCGGTCCACAACATGGTATATAAGTATAAATGCCGAGCTCAGTAAAGCACGGCCATACTGAGATTTGGATACTGGTAGGATGTCACGCCACATACCTAATCAGGCTCAAGATAGACATTGGGCAACAACGAGGCTGAAATGCAAGATTAAGTAGATGCTGATGCACATAGTCTGATAGACTCGGATACATAAAAAATTAGTGCTACATCCTGTCCTTCAAAAACAGGAATTTGGTGCTATTATGGAAGTGAGAAATTCCTCACGCCAGATAGTGCCACGATAGATCTCTGAATACGCGTGGAAGGGGTGTTGGTTGGAAGTAAGATGAACGCAGGATGCTGAATTCGATTCAACTATTGGTCGCTCAACAACCAACCCTTACCTTCCAGGGTCGAAAATAACAAGAATTTAAGCCTACAGGGGTAACATAGTGGAATGTTGTACATGGGACACATTGCTGTAGTACGCTAGTTCGATGTACGTCGTGCATTATTATTCATACTATCTCCAATATTGACACGACGCTATTGATGAAATTTAAGTGTAGACGTGTCGTTCAAGCAATAATTTGCCATCATTTTAGTTGGTGACACGATCTGTTTATGGTATTGGTCGAGATAGCGATCTTACCCAGCACGTACCACCACACGCTAGCGGGGATACTAGGATTATGTTTCTGTAAAAAGTATCTTGTAGGAGTCAAGTTAAGAAATCACCTTTCATAGTGATCATAATGGGAGATGGATAGGTTGAGCTAGTATTTGCGCGACGGAAAGGTTGTCGTGGTGGAGAACAGAGTCTAAGATTTTAGCGATGTCGCACATGCCTTTGCGTTTGTACAGTTGACACCAGCACCTGTGCGATAGAGTACACGTTGTTCTACCCACCTTCTCAGCCTTCTGTCTGGCCCCCGCTAACACACTTAACGACTCGAATGTGTATTTGTTTAGTATGCTAGTTGAATCTGAGACTATCTGGAACATTGGGCTCCTCTCTAACCCAGGAAACAACTCGTACAGTGCTCTTATACTCTTTCGTTGCTTCAAAGTTCATTAACATATTGCCTGTAATGAATAGCCATTGAGCGTAATGACATGAAAAAAGACTAATATCGCAGTACCGAAGCTGCGAAGTGTGCAGCAAGCAAGATACATGACTCACTCGTTTATTTGACTACTCCGATGATTAAGAAGTCTGGACATATCTAATAATTAAAGCCTATTCCCGTGAAATTCTGTCACGTTATTTGTAGCACACTATTTGCTTGATTTTGATTTGCATCCTTTTATATTTTGCCTCGGATTTTTATTGTGTATGCAGTTATGTTATGTTAACTAGGCTATATGGGAGCAGGACGATGGATACTCTTGGGGAAGTTATGCTCACAGTAGGTCTCTGTAGTCGCTGTCGCGTGTGTTCTCGTGATATGTAAGACTTGACTCTATATTCTCGTATAAAAGAAACTTCGTTACAACTAATGGATGGAGGTTGAGACCTCCTTATATCTTGCTCCAGACTTACTGTGTTGTTCACAGCCTAGTGCTAGAACATTCTCTTATGATATTATTTCTCTCATACGAGAAATGACCAGCTCGTTCTCTCTCAGTCTATCAGTCTCTCGCTGATTCCATTATCTCTATTCCATCGAGTTCTAGTTTGGTCCAGTATACTCACACATGCATTACACACTAAACACCCCACAGTTTAGTTCCACAGTCACGTGCATATGCTATGACGCGACCTAAAGCATGTACCATGGTAAGCTACATCTATAACACAACAAGTTATCTAGCCATAACATAGTATCAAAGACAAAGTTTAGAATCAACGACTCAATTTAAAAGTCGTGCACTAATGCTTCGGGTTTCATTCGCAAGTACCACTGTGAAGTTATGGCGGCATTGTCTTCGCCCCAAGTCAACCCTCATCCGTGAGTACCCAGCCAGGGAGACGTCTCAAACACCCTAAGTTTCCCAGACATGCCTCCATCATCTTGCAAATCTGCCCTGAATTCTCTCACGTCCATCCCAAAGCGCTGCCTCCTAGATTTGTGCGCCACGATTTGTGTCCTCCGTCGGGTATAAATATCGGCGTGGGCGTGTATTTGGTGACCAGCCGAGGCCAGAGAAAGTCGAGAGGTGTGGTCATTGGAATCAGGATATACTTGGTCGTACTTGTAGGCTTGATGAGACTTAGGTAGGCGTCAAACTCGTTGGGAGTGAAAAAACGACGAGGTGGAGTAATTTTAGATTTTGCCTCGTGGGCCAACTTCTTTGATAATGCGAAATTTGACTGAACTTGGCTGTGGGGGAATATTTAGCTCCCAGGTTTGTAGAGGACACCGCGTACAGGTATTCAGTCTTGCCCTCCGTCCTGTGGCTCTAAACTACCAATATGTATAGTAGAGCTTAAGACTAGATGTAACTTGATTTCCTTTTGGTACAGGGTATCGTCTATTTAAATACAGTATTCCTTATCTTGCGCCCGGACTCCAACGTGAACCACATTACATAAGCATAACAATTTATCAGAGCCTCGTACTGATCAAGAGGTCTGACAATCTTGGATCCTCAATTATTTTCTTAATTGTTTGGAAGATATGCTGGGAAAGGGGACGAACGAGAAGCACGGGATCCGAACCACGAAAGAAGTTCTAACTTCGCGTTGAGTTTTTGATTTAAGTTTTGTAGTCAAAGTTCGCGCGACTGTAGTGAGTAGAACCTGCACGCAGTAGTCTTTGCCGGCTCCACCAGCCCTGTAAATTTTTATTTATTTATGTTAAAGTCCTAAGCTAAAGCAATAGGTACAAGACTGGTGGAGCCGGTGGGGATCACTGCTTACAAGCCCAACTCATTCCAACCGTTGGACTCGCTACCGAAATAGTAGGAAGTAAATTACGACGCAGACACCACCTACTCCAACTCCCAGATCAAAAATCACTCCTTTTCCCCCTAAATCCACATAGCTACAGTCTTTCCTCAGAGAAACGACACTTCTCGACCCGTTTCCTTTCGTGTCATGTATTGCGGCAATGACTAGTTTATCTGATCCCCGCTGGGAGCAGCGGATGAGTGAACAGGTCGTCGATCAAAACAGCCGGTTTCCTGCGCAAATTTTTTGAAACTTTCGTGGCATTTGGGCCCGAGTAGCTTTTTGATAAAGTCAACGTGGGACATTGACTTTCTGAGCCAACGCGTGTGTTGTGCGTGGTAGCTATAGTGGATGAAGTGGGTTGGAGTAGTTTCCTTCCCGCAAGAGCACTCCATAGGAGCGTATGGATTGTTAGAACGGCGATGGTATGCCGCAAAATCGCTGTGACCCGTTCGTGCTGCAATTAGCCCAGAACATTTGTATATATGTATTTCCGTATTTAATTCAACTACTTCAGTCATATACTATGTGGCTCATTGGGCTCCTTTCTGACTCAGACCACACATTTTACGGTGCTCCAATCTCTATTGTTACTTAGAAGATCAATAAGGTATTATCTATGATGGATAGCCATTCAGATAAGTATTTACCATCACCGGTTGTTTACCCATAATAAACTTGGAATTTTAAGCTTAACAATTTCGCAATTGAACATGACAATCCTGGGAGTATCTGTTCATTAATCATAATGAACGGATAAACAATTCAAATTTGGGCACAATTTTCAAAGTTTTATCTAATGATCTGAGGCCACAATGATGTGATAGATCTTGGTGGATTTCAACCCAAGCATGACTGCTTGAAATTCAAATACTGTGAAGAACACGTTCCCTACATGAGATGGGTAGATGATTGGATGAGCAATGGCTAGGACTCGGACTGAGCATAAAAAATAATTTGCTATTTTGTTTAGCATCATCTAGTGTGCATAAGCTTTTTAGCTATGACACATGATCAGAGATATACGTACATGTTGGATGATTCTTTTGATATTAGAGAACCTCATACTGTGGATTTTAATTGCAAATACCACTATGAGGTATGTTTGCTTACAAGTCAGTCGACTCTCCCTAAGTATCCACCAAAGGGAGGTTTTAAAACCCTTGACTATCCGAGCATGTCTTCGTCATTCATGCACACCAGCACCGTGAGAAAAAAGGTTGTGTTTTGCCAAACTCTAACCAGCGATCCCCTAGCTCAAGAGGGACATGTTTCATGGTAAAACGCGCTCGATGGGAACAAACCATTTCGCGCGCACGTCGTTATTATTCTGCTCCTTTTATAGAAAATTGTTCTGGACCCTCCATTGTGATGAACAACTTCGAAGTCGCTCCACAGTGCACCACAAATTGTCTCCTCCCGCGAATATTCGTATTCTTGTGGGTATGTTTATGATGGCCATTTGAGGCCAGACTGACTTGAAGAGAGTTGTACTCATTGAAACAAGGATATACATGATCGTAATTGTAGACTCGATAAGGGTTATGTATGAATCGGTCTCGTTAGCAGTGATAGATTGATTTGGTTAGGAACAGTGAATCATTGCCTCGTTGGCCAACCTATTCGGTATTGCGAAAAGTGACTAATCTTGACTCTGAGATAAAAATTCACACACAGGTCCTTAAAGAACGCCGCGGACGGGTATGTAGTCTTTGTCCTCCACTTTGGATGATCATGGAGGTCTCGTTTCGGAATTGCGTTGTGTTTCATCTGTTGAGCGTGAACTCTGAGATTCGAGGTAGTGCATAGACTATTTCTCGACTGCAAAGTTCGAGTAGCTGGTGCAGGTCAAACTATGCGGTGAATTTTCGATGGTAGATAGGTTGAATTAGACTTGTGTGGGTTTTAAGCCCGCAATTGCCATGGGCCCTACATGTCCTTACATAGTTGTAGACTTTTTAGGACAATAAACACTCACTCACTCATTGCCATGGGCCTGCTGTCCTTCGCAAAAGAAAAATATAAATATGACCAATTTAGGTTCTTGAGCGTTGACCATGCCTAGATATTCCTAGATGGTGGATATAACATACCGACGTGGTACGCAAAGTATCGAGCGAAGTTTGCGGATCAGGACTCGAGCTTTGTACAGGCTTCCGGCTTGCACAATTCCTAGTGATGACAGTTATTCTCCCGTACAAGGTGACGTATACATGGTATCCGTCGGCAAAGTTTTAGAGGATCGGCAATCGTGTCGCCTCGCTTCTTCTGGTGCTTCTTTCATCCATTCGTTCATCACGTATTTTGCGAGGAGAAAAGTAGACCTGAAGGGGGCAATCTAATTCAATTAAGATCATACAGTGATCCTCAATCTTTTAATCGCCAAATTCCTCAATCCATTACGATAGGCCATTTCATCAAGAGACATCCCGACTATATCTCACGGGCTAAGTTCATTTCTCTCAGCTTGAACCCTATCAGCCATTCATTTAACTTCATTACTAAGATGCTCTACGGAATGATAAGTGGCGGTTTACCTTTTGACCCACATGTCGATATCTCATCGCTGGCTGGCAAAATTGTCTTTATAACTGGTGGTACGAACTTCCTATTATCATTATATACGGTGCCACCAAGACTATAGCTAATCTCATCCAGGTAATGCCGGAATTGGCCTCGAAACTATCTTAGAGTTAGCTTCTCACCATCCCGCTCATATTTATATTGCCGCGCGCAATGCTAGCTCGGCTGAAGCCGCGATCGCAGTCATCCATACGGCATTCCCCTCGGCCACAGTCACCTATCTATCCTGTGACCTTACAGACCTCGATAGTGTCACCGCATGCGCCAGAAGCTTTGTTGAGCGGGAGAACAGACTTGATCTATTGATTTTAAACGCCGGTATTATGGCAACGCCAGCTGCTACTACGGTGCAAGGTTACGAGATCCAATTCGGCACCAATCACGTCGGGCACTTTTTACTGACAAAGCTCCTTCGACCCACCCTTTGCGAGACGGCAAAGCTCCCGGGCACCGATGTAAGAGTTGTGAGCGTAGCATCGATTGCCCACCTATTCGCACCATGGGCCGGTATCGTATTCGCTGAGCTCAAGACTGACATGAAGCGGTGGTTAACGGCGCAGCGCTATGGGCAGAGTAAACTTGCAAATATTCTGTTCATCAAGGAACTGGCACGACAATTTGATGAAGACAAAACCGGCGTGCTAGCCGTAGCTGTTCACCCTGGTGTGGTGGATACAGGACTCTACGCCAGCGTAGACAAGTGGCCAGTGTTGGGCTTCTTGTTAAAATTGATCAAGAGGGCAGGGGGCATGTTCCTGACCTCACGCCAGGGCGCCATGACTCAACTTTGGGCCCTAACGGCGGCCCGCGCGGAACTTGGTGTAGATGCAAATCACAGTGCCGGGAAGGTAGTGAGTGGGGATTATTATACTCCTGTTGGCATGGCTGGACAGGGAAACAAGACGACGAAAGACGCAGGGCTGGCCAAAAGGCTGTGGGAATGGACAGATGAAGAGGTTAAACAGTATGTACTATAGAAAATTTATTATCTAAATTCGAGGTGTTTGCGCCGCGCGTGGCAGGACTCATTGTACCCCGTTTTTAGCTGTCTGCTAACAACCATGCCCTGCTTAAACGGTCAAGGCGAGCTCATGTGGGGCAAAAGTGGGATCGGCCGAGCAGATCAGGGGCAGAGGGGTATCTGCGAGCTGGTGCACCTACCGATTTTAACGGGATGCACAATGCCTGTTTGGACTTTGGAGCGTGACCTAGCTCGATCAAAACTTTTTGGATACCCGATCGATTCCATGGGCTGGATTGCGGGATAGAATACCGTCCAGCCTTAACTTAAAGGAAGAATCAAGAGAGGCCTAGCAATCTAAATGCGAGTGGGAAATCTAAACTCGGTGTGCTCGAGTAGTTGGAGCTCCGGACGTGACCATCAAGACCAAATCCATTAATTCAATTGTGTAAGCACAAGTTTGGCTGTACTGATGCAAAAAAAAAAGCTCAGCCGCACTCTCAGTTCGCTGGTTGTGAAATACAACCGTGCGATTTACAATGCAAAAAACAACTTGTGGCCAAGATAAGGAGAGTCTGGGAACATGCGGACGGGAGAAGTATAAGAATGAGGTAATTTCGCATCGGCGCGTCATTGTCGGGTTCTCTGAACGGTCGGACTTGACATTTTTGACACATGGGTGAAGTCAGAGGTAGTCCCATCCTTCAGATGAGACCTAGTTCACTTAATGATAGTGAACATGATCCAGCTCGGTTTAACTCAAGCTCAAGCTTCAGAAGCAGTGTGGATGGAATCGATTGCTATTAATTTACAATTATCACTAGATTCAGTTTGATTTGAGTTCATGTCGTATCAGGCTTACGCTGTACACCAATAGTCGTGATACGGGTCTATGCTCCGTGGGGACACTACAGCCTAAGTATATGGTTTTCTTGTCAAATCTATACGCTGAGGAAGACTATTCTCAACACCTTTCAGTGGTGTCCCCTACGAACCTCCAGCTCTCACTGTAGAGTCTGCAGAGCCGAGATTGTGTAACAAAGCCCTCACTTCCATAAGGATTGCCATTCGCTTTTGCGGTCTGTATCTTTTTTTTTTTTTTTTTTTTTTTAAATTTGCGTTCTGTAACGCCTTCAACTCTCAACACATCCGGGTATGAGCATTATTATGATATTCACCACGATCAGACCAGATGGTAGAGTCGAAGCCCTTCTCATCACCCATCCTTAGTCACGGAGGAGAAGCCATCCGATGAGTTTCCGGAGCGTACCCATCACCCGATATCAAGACGGTGATTTGGATCAGGGAGGCCTAGACTGCTACAAAAAAGAGAGGTATAAATCGATATACGCACCTCATGTGGTCCTAGCATCTAGACCTCTTTTTTTTTAAAAATTCATGTTGTAGGCGTCTAGGCCTCGTCTGGCTGGGGCTGTAGGTTTTTTGATATTTTTTCTCGCACGCGCAGTTTTTTTTTGGGGGGGGGGGGGGTAGAAGGTCGCGTGGAAAAGATGGCCGAATTCCACGGGTAAATACTGAGCTGAATGGCTATTCATCACGGGCACACGTAGAACTGTAATACATTCTCTGTAGATAGACAGCCGGCAGAGACGAATTCTTCACCTTCCAGTGGTTCCGGTGTAATCGCTCAATATGCTCTGCATATCTGGGATAGCCAAGAAGAATCGCATCCAAATCGAAGTCGAAAGCACTCGCAAGCACATCTAAAATCGACGACTCATCGTCAATGTCGGATCTATCATCCAAAAAACACAACATCAAGCATAGATCCCACATCATATTATCCACAACACTTCTTACAAGAACTTCCATCTGGTGCAATGGCCCCAGCCGTTGCATCGTCATCGACAACGCCCCCGAATCCAGGGGGGCAACTCCACCCAAGCCTGCTAGGCATTGTTAATGCAATGCAAAAAGCAGAACAAGAAAGAAAAGAAAGATTGGGCATAGCCCAGGAATTTCTTGAACTAATCGACTCCTGGGCCAAGAGCAAAGGAGAGAAGCAAGCAGCAGCAGTCGTCGCGACTCTGATGAACAAGATCACGCCTGTCATCACTGCCTTTGCAGTAGATCAGGCAGAAGTAATCAATAGTCCAAGTAAGAACTCCCCCGCCATGGCAAGCACTCCCAAACCAGTCGCGCCTAGGAACCACATTGTTGTTGAGAACAACAGCCACGGCCTACCTCCAAAGCCGCAAGAAAAAAGCTCGCCTTGGGTTACAGTTGCTCGCAAAGCAGCCAAGTTACCAACACCGCCCAGTGCGCAAGTTCCGAGAAGACCGGCTCCGATAAGCCGCCCTAAGGCACAGACAACACCCAAGGAAGACAAACGCCTGTTCCTTCGTTTGGGTAGAGATCACCACTGGCACAAATTATCACCAGTCACAATCAAAAAGATAATAACCGACAAGGCTGGGATAGCAGCCTCAGCTATCACCTCGATGTACCCAGTCAGGTCGGGGATCGCTCTCGAATGTGCGTCAGACGCATTGAGAGACACAATCATCAGAAGTGCACCTTCCCTACAGGAAGACAACACAGTGATTGAGGCAGCCTCAAAATGGACATCTCTGATGGTACCACATGTGCCATTGTATATCAGGACACTTGAAGGCAGCATGCCAGTCACCATTGAAATGGTGAAGAACGAGTGCCAGGCAGTATGTGGCGCCACACCAATCCAGGTACGGCCCACAGAAACAAAGCTTGGTCAGTACTCAACGAGCTGGATCATTCATTTCCAACAAAAACCAGCAAACACAAAGTTCCGTCTTTTTGACGAGAGCGGACCGGCAATTCCCTTCTCGCGCCGACGACCAATCGAGCAATGCCAACGTTGCTGGGGATTCCACACTACGCGTTCCTGTACCCGGAGCCAACGATGTGGACGATGTGGGGGAACCCATGAGACATCAGATTGCCAGGCCAAGGTGCCAAAGTGCTCAAATTGTGCCGGACCTCACCACTCACATGAGAGTAGCTGCATGGCCCGACCAAGAAGACAAAACGGGATAATTCTGCCCCGTACCCCTGCAGAACTACACATCATCAGAGAACGCGGGCATCGTGATTATCACGCTGCTCTAGCGTATTCGGAAAGGAAGGGCAAGGCAGTTGAAACTGTCATTACCCCGGATTCAACAATGACGTGTTAATGTTAGGGAACCCCTCAACAAAAGCACCAAAAGATAAACATAACACTCTCCACTTTCACCAAGTGAATGTAGGAAGGGGTGGGGAGAATACAGATATAGCATTGCAGCAGGCATGGGACGCCGGTGCACATGTAGTCATGGTACAGGAACCATGGACAAGGAAGAAAGAGGGGGGTTTTATCACCAAAAGTCACCCTGGATACAATAGCCACATACCGTTTGGAGGAACAGACGTCCGGCCCCGCGTGAGTACTTTCACACGCAAAGGCATTGGTGCGACTCAATTTTTTCCGCCGTCATCAGGCCCGACATCTGACTACTGTTTTGTAAAGATGGGCAGCCTGACTTTCGTCAACGTGTATCGTGCCCCGGGCACCAGTGGAACCTTGGAGCCCTTACTTCGGTGGGTAGTCAGAGGACTCGTGGTTGTTGGTGGCGATTTCAATTCTGTGTCACAGCATTGGCAGCCGCAAACGACAATTCAGTACGGCAATGGAGGCCAGATCATGGAATGGGCAACAGCTCACGATATGGATCTAGTTAGCATTGTCGGAGAGCCAACGCATAGGGATGGGAACGTGCTGGACTTAACGTGGAGCAACACAGCTGCAACAGCATCAGTCTCCAAGCAGTATCACTGTACCTCAGATCACTCGACCATCGAGGGTACAGTCTTAAACCCTACAGTATCAGACCTATCTGGAATTGTAAGGAACACTCGTGTCAGCGATGAGAACCTAAAGGAATTCAACCGATGTGTCAGCCAATGGACCAAAGCTGCCCCTCTGGACAGTGTCATGGACATCGAAAAATTCACAGCTAATCTCCTGCAGGCTCTTGCAGACGCGCTGAAGATTGCGGGGAAAGTCCCAGCCATTGAAAGCGGAAAAACCGGGCCCTGGTGGAACGATGAATGTCGCATCAAGTGGCAGGATTACAAGGCAGCGAGAGAAAATCCGGACCTTGTAAGACAGGCGCGTAAAAGCTTTAGAGCCGTTGTGCGAAAAGCCAAGCGAGAGTACTGGAAGAGGCAAGTGGAGGCAGTTACAACTGACGCACAGGTATTCAAGCTCATGAGATGGGCTAAGCCTCGACCAGCAGCTGAGCCCCCTCCTTTGCAGATTGAGGAAAATCGGTGGCTTTCAGACCCGCGAGAGCGGGCTAGTGCGCTACGAGACATTCTCTTGGCAAGATTTAGCAGCGAGAACGACATCCCAACCTGGGAGAATGGACAGGAGGTGCGCATTCCATGGGATACGGAAATATCACTGGAAGATGTGACAAACGCTACCATCTCTGTCAATGATACGGCACCGGGAGCGGACAAAATAACAGTACGTTTACTGAAATCCTGTTGGTACCACCTCGGGCCTCTGGTCAAGGATCTCTACCAGGCCTGTCTAAAAATCGGCCACTTTCCGACGGCATTTAGGGTGGCAGATGTTGTGCTTCTTCCCAAACCGGGACGAAATCTATCAACTGCCAAGGGCTGGCGACCAATCTCGCTGCTGTCGAGCTTAGGTAAAGGACTTGAGCGTCTAGTTGGCAAGAGAATGGCATGGCTGACGATAAGTCACCAAGTTGTTCATCCGCAATTATTCGGCTCAGTACCAGGACGATCTGCGGTCGACCTTGCATCCTGTGTAATCCATGATGCTGAGGCGGCCATGAGAAGCGGAAAATGTGCGGCTATGGTCACACTAGACATCCAAGGTGCGTTTGATGCAGTCCTTCACAACCGACTACTCCAACGCCTTCGAGAACAAGGCTGGCCACTATCTCTGTGCCGGTTCATTCAGACCTTTCTCTGCCAACGAAAAGTCCAGGTGAAATACCGTGG